CTGTTCACAAACCTGATGAAAGCTCTCCAAAACCGTTGACAAAAGTGTTGAATCATTTAATGTCATTTGGTCAAGTCTTTTAAATTGAGGCTCCGAACTTATCACTCAACTCTCGTATGTATGTGTAATAGTTCAACGACACAACGCAAATTTCATGGATACGTACAAACACATGTACCATTCTACTGTCGCCATATTCCGATTAGGGACTACAATATAATGTATCCCTTGACATGAATAAAAGGATTTGTTTTTTAAACATTCCGATTTGGTACAATGTTTCGTTTGAGATTATTTTCAGAGTAGAAAAGAACATTTATTTCGAGGTCACTACAGTTTTTCAGAGCATGACATGGATGCCGGATATTTTCCTGTTGACACGAGAACGCGTCAGTTGTCATTTTGAAACATTGAAGAACTCATGTGTGCACTGTAACTAAACAGAAGATACACCACTATTATTGAACTAGCTATAATTGAACAAGTTAAGTGAAATGGGATTTAACATCGTGGTCAAGAATTTTCACTTGCATAGCGATGCTCATACATGTGATTGTGTGGCTACCCCATAACTCCAAACTCCATAATACTAGCGACCAAAAACTTAATACAATTAAAACTTCAAATAAAGTCGAATAATTTATGATATCCTGCTCAGGAAAAGCCTAATATGAGGAAATACTAAACAACAAGAAGCTTCTCATTTCTCCTGAGTTGTCTCTCTTGTCTTATTTTAGTATAAAAACATTAAACCACTGATCATGTTGAATACCTGGCTTACTACTCACAACCAAACGATTATTTATTTACACTTACAGGGGTTCATGGCCATGGATTAACTAACTTCTTGCCTTTGAGTAAGCAATAAAAATAATAAATGCTGAGTCAGCTAATTATCAGATGTGTTTTAGTAACTTACAATTTAAACTGAAGGTATATAAGTCTTTTATTCAGAATATGCGTTGAGTTCAACTTGAATTGCTTGAATGGCATTTCTTAGAAGTTGAAGGATGACAAAGCAGACAAAGGTTATGGACGACAACTTCCTTACAACAATAGCGACGTTTCGACATTATAGCTCCAAATACCGTTGTCAACTTGGTTCAACTGTACAGAAACCCGAGTGTTAGGTTTCAGAAATAAATTATAATGTTTATCAGCTTCTTTGATAGGCATTTATCAGCTGCTGCGGTACAGAACACTTATAAGTGTTATTTTCAGAAATAAATATATATTATATTGTATTTGTTTACCTGCTGGGGTAGCACAGAACATTTTTTTCTCAGAAAATATTTCTGAAATGTTAGATATAAAGAATATAAAGATAGAAGATAAAGAATATTGCTTGTTTACTGTATTATATTTTACATCTGGTCTTTGTTTATCATACACATATTCAACCCTCTCTTATTCTTTACTTATCCTACACGGGCAGGTCTACGATGTTTCTGGAGGGGTACGTCGCCATTCTTCTTGGAGGGCCTGGATCAGTTCTTGTCGGTTGGCTGGAGGTTGTGGTCGCTGTTGACTATGCTGGGGAGCGTGCAGGCCACGGCAACACGTTGACGTTGTTGGCGGCAATGAAGTTCTGTACGATTCGGGCTGTGTGGAGTCCGGCGTTGTCATGCTGATAAAGGACACCATGTTGCAGCTGTTGTAGAAGTGGCAGGAAAATCGGACTAAAAATGTATCTATGTCATATTTCCGTTAACGATGACCAGTGGTGTTCTCTCCGGCCACAAATTCCTCCCCACACCGTAACACCCCCTCAATCATACGGCACGGCCTTCACAAAGCAGCATACCGCCGTTCGTTCTCTCCTTCGGCCGTAAAGTCGCCGTCTTCGATCAGCTCTGAACAGACAGAACTAGACTAACGCTTAGTCTCTGAAAATATATAAGTTTGATGGAAACAAATAGCCCTATTTAAATTGAAAAGGGCACCCCAGTGAGGTTCAGGCTTAGATTTATTCAGAGCTTTTGCATTACAGAAGGGGGCTGGTAGTCACGTCGCTACCAACTACGTACGTGCGGTCCCCTCCCAATATCTGACGACGATGTTGCGCTTTCAATAATGGTCCCATGTAAAGTATGTAATCCCTTATTCCTTGATCCCTGAGTCGCCTGGCCCCTGTAATTCTACTAAACCATGTGCCCCGATGCATTCGTCACTGATGACACCACAATCAGGAATCGATACCTGTCTGATGTCTGCCCAGTCTGTCTGTAACGTTGCATCATGTTAGTTACGTCAATACGGAAGCAACCAAAAGTTCTAGCAATATGTATCACACCCAGGGCTCAGTCGCTTTGTTCGGATGTCAGTCGTGGCATTTCTGTGGTGTGTGTTTTATAAGTGTGAGTGTCTGACATGAAGTCCCGTATAATTTATATGCCTATATTGCACGTGTAGTTTCGGCTGTCCAAGCGGCACGTGTTTTTCACGCATTTTCTACACACAAAAAAACGTAACGTGCCGTGGATGTGCATCATTTTCTGCACAATGAGTATTGTCGTGATTGGACGATGTGTTTGGCATTGATTTAGTTTGAACTTGTGTTTTAAAACTTTCAAAATTTCTTTTTTGATGTTGGTAAAGTTTCTTTTGGACGTCAGTTTATAGTTATCGTTATACCTTTTAACGCTTCATAGTATAGATTCATCCAAAATTGAAAATGAAAATAGTCATACAATTTGAACTGTTGGTATCATAACAAATTAAATCTCATTTAAAAGTATTACGCTTGGTGATCTGCTTTTGGCTTATGATATAGTCGGAATCGTGCAATCAACTCTTTTGAATATGAATAGGATTTCCCTTTCAATTTCAATTTTGTGAAACAAGGAAAACAAAAAAATATGTTATTGAACCAGTATACCAATGTACACACGAGAGAATTAGCTTTATGCTTTTTCTCGTAGGTTTTGCATTTGTTATCCCCAGAAAATGAACCCACATGCTACCGGTCAGAAATTGTGTGCAGTAACCCCCACTATATATCAGAAAAGGTAGGTATAGATATATAAGTGTAGGTCTTCGTCATCCTCACCTGTAAATAAATCCGACTGGACACGGGTGAACATTTGCAGGTTGAGGAACTGCATAAAGACGAGTGTTTCAATCATTTGTCCCATGCACACTCATGTACATTTTAATCTTGACACATTGGGTTTTTTTTAAACCTATTAATAAAAGTTGTTTTTATGTGACTTATGACTCATGAAAATATTTGTCCCATGCACACTCATGTACATTTTAATCTTGACACATTGGCTTCTTTTAAACCTATTAATAAAAGTTGTTTTTTATGTGACTTATGATTCATGAAAATATTTGTGTTCTTGTTGTAAAAACCTCCCCAGCTTATGTTTTCTCGCCGTCGTGTGATACACACACAGTATTGTGTCTCGATTCACACACATTATTTGGTGTAATAATTCTAAAACTAGCCTGTTGACATTATCGTTTGAGCTTGAAGAATTCATTTTTTTACTATGGCTATAATTAGTTTCTCATAATTCTACATAATTGAATTGTGTATATCTATACTATGTTTAACATATATAACATTGCTGTGAATAAGGTAAAACTTTAAGTGCCTGTTAGACTAACATCTGGTCTCTGAAATGAACATATATTACAGTTGTTAAATTATAGTTATAGAATATAATAAAAAAGAGCCCAGAGAATTTCTTCATTTTCAGATACCTGATACTGCAGTAATCTAGACTTGCCAAACATTATAGACTTGCAATGGCTATATTAGATATATTTCTTTTAGGGTCTGTATGACACTAAGCGTCTGTCTGTAAGTGAGAACCTGCAGACCAGTGAGGATGTGTTTCGGCCCCGATGCTCAAGCTCCATAAAATATGACAACTGCATGTGTCTACAAAAACTGCCGGGCAGAAGAAAGTATATACTCAAAAGCTGGATTTGACCATACCATTAGACACGTTATCAAAACAGTCACCGAAAACCTGCAAACTTAAGGCCCAAAACACTATGATGCCCGTACTCTTATCAAATACATCACCATCTCTAGTTTGTTTCACTTTTAGCCACCATCAAACATGGATGTATACTTTGAGCTGGATTAGCATGTGTTTGTAGTGCGAAAAATAGAGGATAAATAGAGGATGATTGTATTTACTTGTCAAATAACATCTCACCGTGATGTCATCCTTGATATTTTTTATCTGGTCGAGGAAAGACAAACATCCTCTTTTTTGCCAATAATTCTTTTTCTCACAAGAGAATTTGTTATTTATTTTTGTCTCACCCATTTGTACATACAAATAAAAAAACATCTATACTTTAAAAAAAACATATCACGCCCTAATGGTGGCTGAAAATGAAACAAACAAAAAATGGTTATTCGATTGTGATGTATTTGATACGGGTATCATAGTTGTGCAGTTTTTCGGCGACTGTTTTCAGCCTAAAACGTTTCGATAACTTTTGTAATTTTATAGTCAAATCCATTTTTCAAGTGTAGAATTTCCTTTGCCCGACAATATGTTCTCAAACCATTTTATCTGGACGTACTTATTTTATTCTATTAGCTATTAACTAATGTGTTTATTTCTTCTTCTGAATCAGCGTGTGATAAAAAACATATACATGGCACTACTTTTACTGTTCTCCAAAAACTGTCCTAAATAACGCTAAACATGTATACATCCACGTATAACTGAGAACGGTAGGGCTATTTTCGGTGAATACGTCAAAACACACAATGATTTTCTCAAAAAAGAGGGGCCGATCTTTTTCTTATACACTACATATGTATTATCAGAACTATTTTAACTATATTTGTTTTAACATGTGGCAAAATTATTTCGTCCCTGTATTTGCAAGAGCAATTATTTTTCTTCTAAAATCACAGTCACCAAACTACTCACGCCATCTTTTAATATCCCACGGACGATTCCTAATAAGCAGTTCCATTGCGTCCTACGCATTCTGCATGCAATATTATATTCGACAACACAACATAATTTGATAAATCTAATTTTATTTCAATGTGGGTTTTTTCATATCTATAAAATTCCTATAACGCATTTTCGAGACGAACTAATTTGATGTTCAGCTGGTAAATAACACGGATTATCTGAATGTTTGCATTAAATAGCATAAACAAATATAAACTAAACATAACGACAATTGTAAATATAATGCATCACTCACTGTAAACTTACACAATGTAAGGTACTGTTAACATATATTTGTACACGGTAGTATACACGGCAGTGTTAACTAACATACACTATACACGCCAGTACTTTCATACACAATGCACATTAGTGTAAAACATATACTATATATATTATTGTTACTTACTGTGTACATCCAGATATGCTAATCAGGAAATATTGTAGCACTTTTCAAAGCTGGTTCACTCGACAAGCTTACCACACTAGAAACCACCATATTTAAATGTAGAAGCAAATAGTCCTTGACTATATACTCATACGCGAAACCGGGATTAAAATCACTGACATTTCCTCACAGCGAATAAACGTCCGTGAGAAGTGGAAATATTGATATGTAACATGATAGCTTATTCTAGAGTTTCATATCCACATCAACGATTGACAAACGAAATAGCGCATCCCCGTCTGTTTCGGCCGCTTCTAAGGCTTAAACAGACAACATAATACACTCTTGATTTTTGAAACACAAACAAACGAATATCCGCGGCCTTTGGTGTGTACGACTGTATTCCAATGGTTTGAACAAATTCTAACTATAGTTTTCAGGGTGGTAATAAAACGGACAAAACTTGACGAATGTAGTGTAAATGAACGATGGTAATTCCATGTTAATAATTTGCACACACATTTATACACACACCACCAGCAAAGTAACCGTTGTCCGGCACATCGACAGAGAGAAAGGTTTTGTTGCCGTTATCGTGTGGAATATTTCACTCCGCTGTCAGGGCAACCCGGAGAGGATATGGCAGACAGTAAGTACACAGACGACTTGAATAGCCCCCTTTCAAGCTTGACCCTTTTAAAATTCAGATTTTTCATTTAAAAAAAGAACACGTTTGAATGTAGTTGCGGTTGTCTGGTTTCGGCGATGACAATCAAGCTTGCCGTTGACACCGATAGTTGGTCGGAATATATTTAATCCGGATTTGATTCGAAACAGTGTAGTTTGGATAAACAAGGTTTCACGGTATAAACGTCATACTTCACTTCCAGCTTCACAAATAACAAACAGTCACAGTTGTATTCGAGCGTGATCTATCACCAGTCACTGAATGGTCCAAATATTGTCAAAACAGATGCAGCTGTGACATACGTGTCCTTTTGCACAACGCACATACGTACGTGTTCGGCTTCTATTACAATTTGAATGCACGTGTAAATTTGAGAAGCTGTTTCAATCAAGCACATTGCCCTGTAAATGCTTCACGCACAAAATGCACGTACATGCAGCGCAGATAGGTGCACTGTATTCATCCGGTGTTCGTGTGCACACGCATATGTCTGTTGAGATTGCCTGACTGGGAGAAGCGCAAGAGGCATAGCTTGCATTGGTAGGGTTTTTCTCCGCTGTGTATCCGGAGGTGTTTAGTCAGGGTGGAGCTGTCCGAAAAAGCCTTCTTACACAGGCGACACCGATAGGGGCGTTCTCCGGAGTGGGTTCGCATGTGGGTGGTCACAGAAGAGCTCTGTGAGAAGCGACGATCACAGATGGGACATCGGAATGGTTTCTCGCCACTATGCGTTCTGATGTGCGCTGTGAGGTTTGCGGCCTGAGAGAAAGACTTGTTACATGTTGTACACTTGTATGGCTTTTCCCCCGAGTGTGTTCTCAGGTGGGTTTTCAGGGTGCTAGGTCTTGCATACGTCTTGCCGCAGATCCTGCACATGTTAGTCTTCAGTGAGTTGGGATCCATCCCCGGGGGTGGAGGGGGAGTCTTGTCTGGGAGGAACTTGGACCGTTTCAGATGACCCATGGTGCAAAACCTTGCGGCGTCTTTGAAACTTTCGGAATGCTTGTAATAGATACCACCCCTGCCGTCTGCCATGGGCCTGAAGTCTGACGTGAAGCTGTAAGTTGGGGGGTAGGGTTGGGCGTTGTAACCCCCATACTGGGGTTGTAGGCTCTGGGAGTGGGGGTGGCCTGGGTGGTACTGCCCCAGGGTGGGGCTCTGCGGCTGTGGGGGCCACTGTTGAGGGGGTACCGGGCTGTACTGGGTGTTACCGAGGCCCGGCGGCATGCCGACGTTCATACTCATGGAAACGTTAACGCTCATCGACGGGAAGTGGACGTTAGTTTGAGGCGTCGGCTGACCGGAAGTACTAGGCCCGGGATCCGGGTACTGACTGGCGTACTGTGACGGAGGCGGGGCCGGGTAGGAGTTATGGAACATTGGTCCCTGGTGGCTGACGGGGTATCCTAGACCCTGGTGGTTCTGATGGGTCAGTGGTCCTGGGTTCATCATTTGGCCGTGTCCGAGGTGTGTCATGGACGGTGGTGGCGAGAGCGGCGACAGCTGACCACTGAACTGAGGATGGACGACCGCGTGTTTCAACGACAGCAAAGCATCTGCGATGTCGTGGGGGGCTTTCTCCTTAAACACCGTCAGGTCTCTGAAAGTAAATCCAAGTTCAAAACACTTGATATTTAGAATTAAAATTTACGTTGTTTATTCAAACTCGTACGCAGTAAGGTGTGAAATCCGTACCGTATGAATACACCATGTCCGAGTCTGACCGGGGCGAGGCAAATTGGCCGAAATGAGCCCGAGCTAATCAGGCGTGGTCAGCTCAGCTGCTACAACGCGGTAGGGGAAGGAGGAGGTCAATTTTTAGCAGACGAGAATTATAGGCAGCAGACGACAGTCATTAAATCTCGGAGTGACACCTCAACAACATGCTATACGATACACTGGTACACATGCGGTGTTTGAAGAATATACATTGAGTAAGGAAATCACATGCCATACCCACAACCTGACAACAACCCACCCACCAACACAGCACAAGCGCTAAACCGCTCAACAAACTCGCCATGCTAGAACCCTGCCCGAACGTAAGCACGGGTAATTCCCCACAGTTTTGAAGCATTCTCCCCGAGGGAAAGTGACTTAAAGAATTTGACTAAACATTGTGATTTGTGAATGAAGTGCTTGCTACATACATCCAGCTTACAATAGGGAACCACTTAAAGCACTCGCGGGAAGTGTCGAGTCCCTGTGTAAACACTGGCCGAGAACTCCGTACTCCTCTGTTGGTAAACATTGTCGACAAAAGACGGGACATAATCAACGATTACTGTTATACTTCCCTTCCTAAATGCTACTGTAACCCACTGCTGTTAATAGCAACTTAGTTGCTTACGTTTATTATATAAACATGGCAGGATCCGCCATAAACAGTAGTATAACAAGTTTAGACTAACGCTGAGATTGTTGTTTTGTCAAATTTTAGCTCCCGTCAAGGAATCGGTTTCTATGCTGCTTGTATATGTGCTGTTTGATGCTCTGTCTACTGTAACATTCCGCATTTGCATCTGTCTACTGTAATATTTTGCATCTTGCATCTGTCTACTTTAATATTTTGCATCTTGCATCTGTATAATGTAATAGTGTGCATCTTGCGCGTGTATAATGTAATCTTGCATATGTTTTATTAAATAATTCATCTTGCATCTGTGTAACTATCAATAATATTATGACATATATTAATTATGAATATACTATTATAACACGTATATGTGTATAAAATTGTAACATGTGTATAGAAAAGAATAACGTGTAACATCATAAACTGTGTATGATGGTAAACATGCGTCCAACAATATGGCACGTGTGTAACATTTTAACCTGTGTATAGCTTATGTATTATAAAATGATAACGTATAAATATTAATATTATAACATATGAATAACATCGTATTATAAAAATGAATATGCCATTACAATATGTATCATTCAACACTGTATCCGTATAACACACACATATATATTTTATAACATACAATAATAAAGTATTATGACATCACAATATTATTATTCACACTCTGTCCGTATAACATGTATATTATTAATAATAAATATATTAGATAGAGGCACACTAGCTATATATCCCCTTGATTTTTGGCAATACGCAATAGAAGGATTGTTTCGATAAAGATGGAAGGATTTATCTATGAGAGGACAGTAAGATCTCTTTATAAACAAACGTATTCTCGTCTCTCCTATTTCAAAATCGCAAACTAGATTGGAACATTGAGTCGTGTTCAACCCGTCTGTGATACAACACGGCAATGGTTGGAGCAACGTTCTTGTCGTTTTGGTGGGCACAGGAGCCTTCAACGCGCTAAATATGCATTTGAGCCTTTCACAATTGAAATGTACTTCATACAAATACAAAAACGACGTTTTTCTCGGATAATGTATGTGGAGAATGTAGCTACTGCTAGTTTAATGGCGAGTAAAATTAATGTGCTAAATACAATATCAATAATAATTCAATATATGGACAGGACAACCAATATGGGGTGTCAGCATTATTTCATTGCTTTATGATTATTACTTGATAATGCCTGCTTTATTACGTATACATATAATTGTTTGCTTGTGCAAAATACATATTCTATGGCCGTTTTCGCATTTAAGAAGAAAATGCAACACAATATTAGACGCTGTCAATATCCGGATAGATTTCTTTGTTAAACAATTATCAATTATATATTCTTCTGGTTTATCTTTTCGGGAAAATAATGTAGACATTTTCACGATCAGATAAGATGATATATAGAATTGTAGCCTTGGATACATTATTCAAACGAACCAACAATATTTTATAAGGTCAACAATACAACAGGAAGTGGGCACATGTGATTAGCTCAAAATACTTCAATCGTAGACTATAAGTTATAAGGTGGATATTTACCCAATATTCATTGCCTCTATGTTATAATGAATATCTGAACTTTTACCGTGGATATTATATTTGAACATATACTAGGGGAGTATATGTATTGCGCCGAGCATGAAGACAAGATGCCGTCACGCATGTCCCCTGTAGTATAATATAGCACGAGTGTTAAAAATTAAAATATATATTTTCAAAACCATTTCAGAGACTGATAGTTGTTCTGCGCGAAGAACATATTAATTTGTTTTATGAAACAACGGATGAAAAATGGGTAATTTCTTTAAACAAAAATAAGGAACGGTAAATGCTAAACCCAACAAAAATATAAACCACATTTAAAATAGATACAATAAATACTTCGGTTTTTTTAATTTCTCTAGACAATGACGTCGCAAGGTCACCATCTCGTTACGTTCGTTATAACAAAAAAAACCTACTCTTTTATTCCAAATAAAATATAACATAAATATCTATCTTTATAAAGTAATACATATCAGGACTGTCGATATTAGTTTAGGATGTGTTTTGTTGTTGTTTTTATTGTGTTTTGTTGTTTGTTTGTTTGTTGTTGTTTTGGGTTTTTTTCGTGGGGGGGGGGGGGGGGGGGGGGGGGGGGATAATTATTTTTTAACATATCCACATGTACCAACTTCGAAAGGAATTATTGTTCTCTTTTTATAGAGGTTCTGTGAACCTGGTTGGTATTCTAAGACTGTATACTGAAGAGCAAATTATCAACAATCAGTGCGTCTCCCGGGATTATATTTATATATATGCTTGACACATAAGGTAGGGAAATAACTAGATAAACTTAAAGCACAATTTAAAAATAGCCATGAAATTGAAATTCGAAAACAGCGTATATATTTGTAAAACTGATTCAGGTTGTTTTTTACAATGACGCGCTACAAGCAGCGCACCTGCGCGTCCAGATGATGTTTCAAAAATAAAAGTATCATTTCACAGCTTTCCGTTGTAGAGGATATTTTCTGCATTAAACTATGACGCAGTAAATTGCAAATATAACTAACAAATGATATGTTATTTGTATCAAACAGTAAAACACCTGCGATCATTTAATCATCGACGGTACAGAATGCTGGCAACGGACAACCGACACTTTAGTCATTCACAGGACTATATCATAAAATATAATCTAAATAATTCAAATGTAAGATATTCTGTAGCGATGTGCACATTGCAATTAAAAAAATTGTTCAAGAATTTCAGAGTACTAAGTTTAAAGACTACTGGTATTCCCGAAGTCTTTCCATGTGTGGAGGAGATTTATAGTTTTGTAACCAAACAAGTTTAATAAACCTACTATATGTATCATCATTGGTTTTATTAGTTTATGATATAATATATATTTTTATACCCATATTCACATTTCACACAGCTACCATATACTTCATTGCAAAAACATTTTTATATTGATTGAAACTATTCATAAATAGTAATGCTTCTCTTAAACTTTGATCATATTTCTGAAAAGGACGAGGTATCGATGAGGTATTGATGAGGTATCGATAATGTATCGATAAGTGTACCTACTTGTAGCCAGGTGGACAGGGCGAAAATGAAAACACATTGGGAAACTGGTCGAACTCAAACGATGGCATGGACAGGGTGTTCATATTCAACTCCGTGAATGATCGGGGGGACTCGGGGGATACCGAGTGCCTGCTCGGACTAGATCGCCAAACATCGGAATAGTTAGAGGTGGTCACATATGCCGGTTCCATTGAAATTCTGAAAAAAATATATTCAACAATTGAAAGTACATCAATATGAAAATATTTTAAATCTTACTGACACTGCTAAGAGTTCAAATATTACTAAACAGTAAAATTTATAAATACGTAAAACAGTATCATTTCACTATCTTAACCCTCTCTATATTGAGACACTCCTGTTAGTACAGGTATTTTTGTGTGGAATGTTGAATATAATTTGTAAATACTTTGTGAGTTGCCGTAAGAATTAAGAATAAACATTCAATTTTTAAAATCACTAAATTAAGGACGTTCAACGGCTGATATCACCGAAGAAGGGTGCGAAAGGATTTGTGAACTGTTGAAAAATTTAATCAAACTATTTCTAAATTCAGCCACGCATATTCGATGGTTAGCGAACTTAAATTTGTCAAATATCAGTACATGTGTCTTTAAATATGTTTGGCATTTGAATTGCAAGCTATCAGTGTATAGCCGTTTAACAATTTTTGTAGCCGATTTTTGGAACTAGATTTATGAAAGAAATACGAACTTTACAAACACATGTGAAACGGTGGCCTTACCTTGGTTTGGTGTGCTGACCGGCCAAAGTAACGTCTTGCAAATGAGTCCATCTTTTAATTGAGTGTGGTGTTTAAATAAGACGGCCAGTCATCAATACCTGGTACACATCGAAAATTGAGACGACAGTGATTTAAAAGCTATCGCCGTCCGCCGCAGGGTTATAGCGCGCATGTGCAGATCTAAGGTTTCGCCATCTTTTTATTTGTGCCTCCTCAATCTGCAGCAAGGGAAGCTTGTGGGTTCTCTGGAGGCTTTCATTACCAGCTTATTGGCTAATGAGATTGGAGAAGCCACAAACGACACTTCTGATTGGTTGATGGGGCGAATCCAAGAAAAAGCGAGGAAATCACTTTGAAACTGAACACAAGCCATCTTGGCAGCGTGTCGTCTGAGAAGCCATATATGGAATACGGTGCTGAATTTACAACCCCACGAAATGAGTCGATGACTTTCAACATCACAGAGCTGTCACAGCGCCTGGCTTTTTGTAGATGATACGGTTTCTTATGCTTCTCAAGACAAATTACACACTTTGACGAACTCGTGACGACGTCCACACGTGCGCGCACGTGTTGCGCGCGAAGGGCGATGTTGTTCACAACACATGCTAGGAAGTAAACATGTGGACAGACACTCTATTACCACCATTGAAGGCATTCAAGAGGATTATTACTCTTCAGGGTGGCCTATCACAGGAATCAGATACACGGGTGCACGGGGGATGGGGGCGTGGCGGTGACACTGGGGTCGGGGACACACGGGCGGTACCCGAGACGGGGGAGGGCGGCAGGTAAATCTACCTCCTCTGCATGCTTTATCAGGCTACCATCAACATATCAACATTTGTCGGGCTATTTTGGCGATTAATGAACCTTTCACCTAAAGAGTCTTTGGCTATTTCACACATTTTAATTTGTGTTAATCCAGCAATTCACAGATTGAACACCCAAACATATCCTATCAGGTTTAAATCACAGTACTGGCGATTTACAGGGGTTTAAGTAATTTTGTTGTGATTCGACTATGATGAAATTTAGGATAAGACACGATTGTATTAACTTCCTAATGTCTATTAAAACCCGGCCCGCGTATCACATATGTTGAGATTTTAACGTCTTTGATGGTCTGGCAGAAAGTTAACTTGAGGATGAGAAATATTTAAATATTTAGGGATTTAATATAAGGGGTAAGGGGAACGGGCGGATAGAGATAGGATATTTGTTTTACAGAATGGTCGAACCGATGTTTTTGTTTTTATTTTGACAACAACGTTTTAGAATCACTAGCATATCCAAAGTGCAAATTATTATTATTATTGTTGTTTTTGTTATTATTATTATTATTATCATAATTATTATTATTATTATTATTATTATTATTATTTATTTATTTATTTTTATTTTTTGGGGGGATGGGGGTGGGGGGATTAAAGCTTGAGGACAATCGTTTTCTGAAACAAATTATTTTCAAACAAAAATCCCTGACCCGCAACCTCCACAAGCTTGTTGGACCCAATTGCATAAATATGGAATATTAATATTGATAATAGTAAGAGAGGAATCTGTAATTCGATATTAACAAAGCGGTAATGGAAGTCAACAATTCTACAATTGCATTCTGACGAAGTGAATGTTGAAGTCAGCAACTTACACACTGTTGTTAATAATGATGCAAACAACTATTTCTATGTTTTGAAACAGAAAAAAACATTCCCTTTCTGGAGGTCATCTTAGAATGAGTAGCCATTCTCATAGCCAACACCCACTGCAAAAAGACAACCAAAATATTGAATGAAGGTTTATGGCCTATACACATTCTCTTTATTTCGGTATACACACATCATATTTATATAAATATGGGCCTATTACACAAAATGAATGATTTAACGTAAAAAAACCGAATACATATCTCAAACCTTAAACCTGTTTCTCCTCTGATACGAAAAATATATATTAGTGGATGGCGGTTAATGTTCTTATTCTTACGAGAGATTGTGAGGATATTTGTGGACTTAAACCTCATATATTCACGGATACGTCCCTTGATGCGTATGGTGATAATCGGTTAACTCAATCGAGAATCGAAAACCTCTTTTTGAGTAATTATAAATGAAAAGTCGGCATGATTGTATTACACGTACCAAGTTGTTATTTTTATATGTTTCCGAAGATCATAAGGCCAAAATCAGCAATTTGGAATCAGACAACTCACCATCGACAGTGGCATCGGATATGTTCCCCGAAAACTACTATACTATTTATGTGCCATACCAACACGTTTTATTCAACTCTCTTCTAAACAGTGGTCTTGTATCTCCCATTTAGAACAATATTTTATATTTGTATTTATAAAAAGAATGTCCCTAATAATTTTAGGGATTTTTTCTTGCTGCTGTCATGGGGGTTATTTTAGAAAGTGACGACGCATTTGGCTTGAAATGGATAAAAATATAAAAGCAGCGGGTTTCAGAAAGGAATATTTTACTAAAACAATTTTTTTATTACTTCAAGAAACCCTGCCAAACACACCAAAATATCGCGAGGGTTATGGTTAACCTATTTACATTTGACCAATGAACCTGTAACTGACATTAAGTCATCCATTGATCGATAGCTCCGTAGTGTCTGTAGTTGCGCTTCGGGCCAAGCATTTCCATTTTCTTTCTATCATTTTGAGGGGAAGGTTGTGGGAAGGGGATGGAAATATGACAGAAATAATACCGTAATCTTGTTTCAGAGGTTCAGAGCTTCATTGTTTTCCAAAGCATCTTTACATCGGATATAGGATGGTTACATGTTGGGAAAACTTGGTTGCAATCAACTTTACATTGGTGTTTGTCGTTGCAGTCATTTTTGGTGCTGATTATAACAACGATTCGAGTCTTCTTGTTTTTTCTTGCCCAAATGCTCGGCATACTGTAATACAAAAGTGCTGCCAGTGTACGTATTGAGTGATCAGTATTGTTTTAAAACGGGCGGTAACCTTTTGAATTTAACCTTTAGTATGAATGTGTGAATGCTGTGAAATGATAATAGTATTACCTTTCAGGAAGTCATCTAAGATGAGTACCTAACCCCTGCCAACTACGAATAGACAAGTAAAATGGTTAAATGAATGCATTTGTGCAAAACAAAAGAAATAGTGATGTTTTTAGGTAATACAGGCAGATAAATACAATGAATGTCTCAAGATTAAACGAGTTTCCGATGTATTCGAATGGTTTACACAATCAATGAAAAATCTATACCTTTTTCTCACAAGTTCGCTCTCCCATCACGTTCCGTCACTGTCTCGTGTAGGTTTACAGTACATCGTATCAGAGACCATATAATAGATACAATGGTTGGATTTTTAAATATGTCAGAACATATATTGCATGTTAATATTAGGTAAAATATTACCTTGTGCTATCTATGTACATACGAATTATATGGTCTCAGATCGTATGTACATAGATAGAACAAGGTAATATTTTACTAAATATAAACATGCAATATATGTTCTGACATATTTAAAAATCCAACCGTTCTTCATGTCTTCAAGCGTTCTTCTCATACACAAAGCAGTTCGTCAGCATTAGCAGCGATACTCCAGCGAACCATCTCACCAGAAGGATATATTATGAATATCCATATATTTCATTTTACATTACATATGATCAACAAAGCCTTTATAAGCTAGATGTTGTTCTTTGTGAAACTTTCTGTTAAAAATGTCAATGTAAATAATCCTGAATAAAACATGAATACCACTTTTAAGGTGTCCATATTGCCCACAAAAAACAACAACGAATAATTCTTAAAATCCGGCTTTTGAACAACCCTCTATATCTGATTAATCTGGTCTTCCCGTATCTGGCTTAAAATCAGTATTTGTGTTGAAATTGTCAAAGTTAGAATTTGTACTTCATCTTAACTCAATTTTGGCTGAAAAGTCAACAGCTGGATGTAAAATAAATATTAAAAAGGTCCAGTGTCCTTTTGTTCGATTTAAATAACACACTCACATCAACAATGAATCAGTCCTCATTGCTGGAGATGTTAATTGAACACTGAGATGATGAATGTTTCTCAAATATATAAACTAAGAAATATTTTTAAGTGACCAGAACTTCTGTGGACAATTTCTGTATGTCTCGTGATGTCATATACTTCAAGGAAAACTAGCATTGCTCATATAGATATAACGATAAATGAATACTAATAATAATTATGATATGATATGGACCAATTGGTTTTAAAGTTTGACAGTCTTCTAACTGAACTAACAAGCATTTTTCAAAATAGATATCACAGTGTTAGTCACACCTCACATTTTCCGTTCCACACTGCCGTACCCTCGAATGGAGCAGTGAAAGGCGACATAGGTACTGTGCATCTCTCTGGACCCATTAAGATCCGGTTTATAGTAGATCTTCAGTAACCCATGCTGTCGTAACGTGACTATGCTTGTTGTAAGAGGCGACTAACGGGATCGGAGGGTCAGGCTCACTGACTTGGTTGATGCATGTCATCGTATCCCAATTGCCTAGATCGATGCTCATGATGTTAAACATTGGATTACTGCGTTAAACAAACAAACACACAAATCTGTTTGAGCATGACAATAAACGGATATTTCATCATAACTTATCAAAAAGACAATTAAGAATTTACTTTCACTTTGTGTGAGTTCATTGGAGTGTGAACCTTCATAGAGTGAGGTCCAAACTGAATTAACGTCGGAGATTGGATTTCCGAAGTTCTTACTGAATTTGTTGTCATCATTGGTCAGTTGGCCGATCACTGAAAGGTGATTATAAGGATGAGACACATAGATACTGAGGTAAATTAATAGATTACTGTAGACTATCACTCTTAGTGTAGGCAGGGATCGAGTCGAAAGTTTGGATGTTCATTTCATCGTTTTGTTCTTTAGGATGGGTCGCAGCGAGGATATTCGTGCACGAACATTCAGTCGAACTCTGTGACTAAAGTATACTAAAACGCCGAATGATCAGAAACAACGCTTCTGTATTTAGTCATGTAAGGGCATTCCCTGGAGGTTTCCTAGGAATGAGAAAGAAGTCAG